GGGGGGGGGGAGGGGGAAGCGTGGGAGAAAAGGCAGAAGTTAGGGATGTGAAATTACAACCTGATACTTCAACACCGAGCAAAAATGGAATATATTCTGAAGGATGGGTTCTGGTCTAAGTTTGTATTTCCTATCACCTGTTATCATACAATAATCATAAGAACAAAATTCAAATCTAAAACCATTATATACCACAGGGTGGAATTTTTAGGCTTTTTCTTTCTTGAAAAGAACAACATAATCAAACTACATTTTAAAACAACTACAAAACCCTTGGTCATTACTGAACTAAAATAAATGCCAGATCACAAGTGGGTGATCCAAAAAAATCTAGCTATATCAGGAAAAGGGCAGTAAACATCTACTCTGTCTCAAACCAAAATAAGGACAGTTTTGTTTTATTGCACACTTATCCTAGTTTTATTATACCTCTTTCACCTAATACTACAAATAAAATCCAAGTATACCTCAGAAACCCACAACATAGAAAACCAATATGACCCAGCCATCCACTACATAAGACTAACTTAATTTTAGCTCTAGTAATTGAGCCAAATTGAGCTCCTTAGCAGTGATATTTCAACTCTTTGGACATCAACCAACAAATAGCTTTTAAGAAATAACTTCCTCTAAGGCCGTGGTTCTCCACCTTTTTAGACTCAAGGCACCCCTCAGAAAATGGCAGCTCTTAAATAATACAGCAATTATTCTGATGTAAGCAACTTAGAAACACTACAACAAGCCATAATGATTTTGAAAATATGGATTTCCATCTGAAATCTCTGGATTGATCTTGTGAACATGTGTAAGTGACTGCATATATAACAGTCCTAGTATTGAGCTCACTTTTAAAAGAATCATAGAAAATTAGGGTTGCAAGGATCTCAGGAGGTCATCTAGTCCAACCCCCTGCTCAAAGCACGACCATCCCCAACTACATCATCCCAGCCAAAGCTTTATCTAACCACTGGTCTTAAAAAACCTACAAGGATGGAGGTTCCACCACCTCTATGGGTAACTTGTTCCAGTGCTTTACTACCCTCCTGGAAAGAAAGTTTTTCCTAATATATTTAATAAACTTCCCTTTCTGCAACTTGAGACCATTGCTCCTTGTTCAGTCATCTACCACTACCGAGAACAGTCTAGCTCCATCCTCTTTGGAACGACCCTTCAGGTAGATGAAGGCTGCTATTAAATCCCCTTTCAGTCTTCTTTTCTGCAGACTAAATAAACCCAGTTCCCTCAGCCTCTCCTCAGAAGTCATGTGCCCCAGTGCTCTAATCCTTTTTGTTGCCCTATACTAGACTCTCTCCAATTTGTCTACATCCTTTATGTTGTAGGGGGCCCAAAACTGGACACAGTACTCCAGATGCAGTCTCAGTAGTGCCAAATAGCAGGGAACAACTACATTCCTTGATCTGCAGGCAATGTTCCTACTAATGTAGCCCAGTATGGCATTAGCTTTCTTCACACCAAGGGCACACTGCTGGCTCATGCAGATTACTGTCCACTGTAACCCCCAGCTCCTTTTTGGCAGAGCTGCTGATTAGCCAGGCAGTCCTCAGCCTGTATCAGTGCATGAGACTATTCTGTCTTAAGTGCAGAACTTGTACTTGTCCTTACTAAGCTTCATGAGATTTCTTTTGATCCAATCCTCCAACTTGTCTAGGTCTTTCTGAATCCTATCCCTACCCTCCAGCACATTTACTACTCCTGCCAGCTTGGTGTCATCTGTAAACTTACTGAGGGTGCATTCCATCCTATCTTTCAGTTCACTGATGAAGATATTGAACAAAACTGGCCCCAGAACCAACCACTTGGGCACTCTACTTGATACTGGCTGCCAAGTAGACATAGAGCCATTGATTACTACCCTTTGAACTCAACAATCTAGCCACTTTTCTATCTGCCTTATAGACCATTCATCCAACCCATACTTCCTTAGCTTGCTTGCAAGAACATTGTATCAAAAGCCTTTCTAAACTCAAGGTATATCACATCCACTGATCTCCCCACATCCACAAAGCCAGTCATCTCATTATAAAAGGCAACCAGGTTGGGCAGGAATGACTTTCCCTTGGTGAATCCATGCTGACTGTTCCTAATCACCTTCTCCTCCTAGGCCTTAGAAATGGATTTGTTAAGGACCTTCCTCCATGATTTTTCCAGGGAGTGCAGTGAGGCTGACCAGTCTGTAGATCCTCAGATCCTCCTTCTTCCAAGATGGGCACTATATTTGCCCTTTTCCAATTGTCTTGGACCTCTCCCGATCGCCACAAGTTTTCCAGGATAATGGCCAGCAGCTCTGCAATCACATCAGCCAACTCCCTCAGCACCCTTAGGTGCATTGCATCTGGCCCTATGGACTTATACACATGTAACTTTTCTAAATAGTACCTAACCTGCTCTTTTGTCACTGTTAGATGATCACCTCCCCCACAAACTGTGCTGCCAGGTGCAGCAGTCTGGGTGCTGACCTTACCTGAGAAGCCTGAGGTAAAAAAGCATCAAATACTTCAGCCGTTTCTATATAATCTGTCACTAGGTTGCCTCCCTCATTCAGCAAGGTATTCAAACTTTGCCTGATCTTCCTCTTGTTGCTGACATACTTGTAAAAATCCCTCTTGTTAACCCTTCATGTCCCCTGCTAGCTGCAACTCCAATCATCTTTTGGCCTGATTTCATCCCTGCAGGCCCCCATGGTAGCCCATGTGTACCATGGCACTCTGGTTGAGAATTGCTAGGGTAAGAAAAAGGATGGGAACTTTATCAAATTGAAAAAGAAATATCTGCTCTTACCTGTAGTTTTCTTAATTGTTATGTTATGCAATCCCACCTGCAGAGCTTTAATTGGGATTTGGATACCTTTCTTATTCACCTGTAAAAGATGGTAAAATAGTCTTGATGGCATGGTTGTGCCATCTTTCATATTGTGGATGTACTTTAGATTCAGCAATGGCAGGACTCAGTCTTTCAATCAGCTAGAACATTTAAAGTCAATTTATGAACATACGGTCTGAATTAAGAACTCCCTTATCAGTGAAGATGGTCCCATCTGGGCAATATACTCCTGCAAGATCCCATAAGCCTAATAATGCTTATGATGAGGAAGGCAACATCAGTGTTGGCAAAATAGAGAGATATAAAGCAACCCCCCACCCCCCAAAAAAAACAACCAACATTATGAAGGATTGTGTCAAAGGAGCTAAAACCAAATGAAGCATCTGTGTGGTAGCTGAGAATTTAAAAATGTTATTTCTTGTGGGAAAGGAAGGATTAAGGAAAAAGTATAGATGGAAGCCACTAAAGTTTATATCCTGCTCCATACTAACAATTTGGGTCCCTTAATCTCAACTGAGCATTTCAAGGTAATACCAGCTAAAGAGATGCTTGGGTAGAGATTGCATCTTTGATAAAAAAAAACAAACAACCCCCCCCCCCCTTTTCCTGGCTTAGCAAGGGGAAAAAAAAGGTAGAAATTATTACAAAACCATTTTCCTTTTTATAGAGGAAGGCAGATACTTAACTGCTTCCTGTATGATGCCATTAGTAGATGCTGGGACCCAGGGCAAATCAGTAAAGGATTTATTCTCCCTATTGTGTGCTGCTCAGTGCATGCATGCACTGAAGTAGGAGGCTTGTTTGTAGCTGAGTGACAGGCAGCAGCGGCTGGTAAAACAGGGGCCCACTTGATGAACACAGCTGCTTCCACTTACTTTTTTGACTTGGCAAGGATCTCATCAGAGCTTAGATTGGGAGCAGAAGAATCTGTCCCCGAGCCCTGTTTAGGCTGACATTCTGTGGGAAGGGTCACCTTGGTTGCAGCAGAAATAGAGGTTCCCACCTTTAACTCAGTGCTATAAATATTCTGTACTATTAGTAATCAGACCAACAAATTTAATCTTCCATTGGCCATCATCTGCTACTTTTGACTAAAGAGAAGTCAAGAGAAAAGTGCTAGGTCTTGCTAAAATAAAAGCAAATAGTACAAGGCAGAACTTCCTGCACACTGGGCCAAGTTCCAACACCTTAATTGACTCATGACATTACTAGCTTAACAAATCAATTCTCAAGCACTCTCTATAGTACAGTAAACAGAAGTAAGACAGCATTTCTTCCACACTTCTCAGTATGTACTCTCATTACTTGCTCTTGGCTGCCATAAAAATATCAAACCATAATTCTCTAGATAGCTATCTATATCTATATTATACACATATACACACACATAGATGTTGTTAATTAGTTAGCAATTTGAATCCTAAATTTCCTTGGAAAATGAACAGTTATATATCTACACTCCAAGTTAAGTTATCATTGTACTGTGCTACAGTTACATTGCAAACAGAAGAGAAATATGTGCTAGAATCACAAAATTTAAGTTCTTAGACCATGACTGAAAACAAACAAGAATAGTTTGTAAGTATACAAATGTTCAACTTCACAGTTTATTAAGAGCATCCATTAGAAGTCTAGACAAGGCACAGGAAAGACAATTATTCATATTCTACTGATACAAAACATTATCCTAACTGAAATCACACGAAGCTGGATGGTTATGTTCAATTTTTTCCACAAAAGCCTTAGTGGAAGGTTCATACTGGAGTCCTTCCTGTCTCCCCAAGAAATCTGCCTCTAAAATATAATTTGTGAAAGGAATGTAGAGAACATCTAAAGAAAGAAATCCAAGATTTGATGCATCATTGAGCTGACCCAGCAAATTAAACTATAACCACAAACCTTATTATTAATGGCAATGCATACAGGCTGTTCAATGTCAGTTCGTAGGCACAGAGATCTATAGATCCACATTTTGTCCAGAAATTTGTTCTGAGATTTCATACTGTTGAATGGAATAATTCATCTGTTAGGAAGAGTTTATCCTGCATTTGTGTAGGGGGCTAATCTAGATGACTCTTCAGGTCCCTTCCTTCCCTACAATTCTAATCCAAGAGGAGTAGGGCAATGGTGAAAAGGAAGTTGCAGATGTCAAGGCTCAAAAGAAGGAATTCTTAGATGCTGCTTTAGGAGGGAAATGAGAGCTGCCAGCATGACTGGATAACTTTGCATTTGATCCTTTTCCCCTTTCAGCCCTAAAGAAGGATTCTCAATGAGAAACCGTCCAAAATATGCATGCATAGGTGTCCATCTTATGAGAACCTCTTGCGTCCACAGGCCACTAGGTGTCTATTGTAGGAACTAGCTTCCACAGGATTTTCCACTACTCTGTAGCTTTGTGATCAGGATAAAGAATGCATCAAAATGAACTAAATGTACACTTCCAAAAAGAAAGGAAAAAAAGGAAGTAACAACTCTTAACTCGAAAATTTATGTCCAGAACTTCTATTTGTTCCTATTCTTGTTTCCTTTATTAGATAGTATGTGTATCCACAGAAAGCCCTGTGAGACACTGGCATGAAGTCTCTGTTGACTATATTGTAACGGAAACACTTCTTGGAACTTGTGCTGGTTATAGACAAGCCACATACAGTGGGATACTAGTTTTATACTTTGGAGAGAAGGGGTGCAGAGAGGACACCCACAAGCTTTCAAAGCATTTAGGACAGGACAACTGTTGCATGCTTAAACTGTCCAGAGCTAGTTCTCTTTCGAGATGGAAACAAACAAGCAAGCAAACAACAAATAATCCTAGGTGGTACAGGAAAAAAATATACCTTTGGTGAAAAAAAACTCTTTGGGTACCTTGTTGTAGGAAAAATGTTTTGTCGATCCTGTTGACACTGTTAAGCATCAAGTGTCAGATTAAATGCAAGACCTACTAGAAAACAGATTCCCCTCCCCTCCTCTTGCCTGGCAATATCCTATTTAAGGTGCTTTAACATGTTTTTCTTTTTTCACCATACCATTCAACCTTCCTGAGTCAATTAAAGTATAAAAATAAAAGTTACCTTGAATTTAAAACCAAGCAACAGATATGTCATCAGCTGTGAGGAATAGTTTGATTGCCTATAAGAAGATTCAATGCAGCTCATGTAGAAAAATCAATAAAACTGTTTTCAAACCATGCATCATTGTTATGCTATGGAAACAGATTTCCAAAATTTTCTGTAGTTATTTCAGCTTTGTGGGAGGAGAGAGGTGGATGGGTGTTAAGATCAATTAAAAGTAAAGCCTGTCTGGCTAGGTAATGGGCAATTATTCAGTGCTTCATACATATTTAAAAAATGGATGTTGTTGAAATATTGGTGCCCAAGATAATTAGATTTCATTTTTCAGTGCATCAAGTAGTTAGGAAAGAGTCAATTAAATAGATCATCCATTCTGCATGCTCTTGAACATCTGGAGAATGGAACCAAAGATTGTGAAACTCAGTTTGCTATAAAAATAAGATCTCTACTGGGAGAAAAACATCAATGGACAGCCAAAGAAAGCATTTCCAAACAAAGCAGATGATGGGATTTAAAAAAAAAAAAATTTGTATTTATTTTTTTGCTTAAATATAAATAGACCATGCATGAACAAATGAGTTGACAAATAATTCTCCTTCTCAGTTTATTTAAAAAACAAAGGAAGAGGAGCCAACCCTGAACTGTCACATAATGGTAGCCAAGCACCTTTCCATATTCCTAAAGAAGGGGCTTTTCCATGTAAAAAGCAACATGTGCAAACAGAAAGTTACAATAAAACTAAACTCTTCTACACATAGTGACATTTGTGTTTTACAGGAAGATAAGAATGTCACTAACCACTTTTCAAAGTCAGACTTTTCCTAATATTGTAAGGCAGGCTGGAACAATTTAGGGTTCCAATTCTTGGCACTTTACTAAAGTGCGTGGCCATTACTTTGCCAGAGCTGGATTCATTTTACATACAAACTCCCCAAAATGCCATTCAACTAATCAAATGAATCATCAAGTATTTATTTCTGCTTGCAGCTCATCCCAATCTAACAAGGCATATCAAAATACCTACTGTGGACTGTAATGTACCAATGCCTGTCCTATGCAATAGCAGACAGCTTGGAAAAGAGAGGCATCCAACAGCAGCATGCTGCTACAGTTTTCATTCTTACTAATTTTAAATCAAAGTTTTAATGATTTTTAAATAAAAGCACAAATTTAGTACGATGGCAAAAAAGAAAAGTAACGTATATGGTTAGACCAGGGGTAGGCAAAATATGGCCTGTAGGCCAGATCTGGCCTTCCAGGTGATTCCATCTACCCTGTGGGGCCCCTCAGTAAGCCCTCTGTAAACCCCAGCCCTGGGCTGCCCTTCAAGACGGCACCTCCAAGATGGTGGCTGGGGGCAGGGCATTTGTCAAGAGGCAGGGCTACCCTTGCAGCCTTCAACAGCCCACCAAAACTCATAAAGCAGCCCCTCCAGCCAAAATAATTGCCCACCCCTGGGTTAAACAATGACCTCAATATAGAAATTTCAGCGCTACATTTATGAGACACTAACTCAGAGGATCTGTAGGTCCAAAACTGCAGAAGGCCAAACACTGGATCAAATTCTAAGAGCCTAAGGGGCACTGGTAGAAACAGTTGGCTTGGTTTCTTTCAAAATGGCCAGCAAGAAACAGCTATGGCAGGTAGAAAGAGCAAGACACATCAGCAAATGACCTCAAATACACAGGGCCTGAGAGTTCCTGCAGGCTGGCTTAAGTCATGCACACGCTTCAGTGATTACCTTGATTTAGCATTTGCCAACAGGTTCCCACAGTGAGCTTCTCAGAGTAGGTAGGACCCTGCATCATTAACATAACCAGGAGCTTTTGATGTGCATGTCAGAGACTAAAATAAAACGTTAAATGCCTGATCCTGCAATGACAGAAACTCAATTAAGTCAGTAGGGCCATTTACAGATGTTATGTTTTTCTAGGTTTAATTCAGACTACAGCCATCACTATATACACATGGATGTCTGTAATCTGAATTAAAATGAGCTCCAGTCCAAATCAACTAATCTTCACTGAATGAGGATTAAAGTTAATGTAGACTAGGGCAGTCCAAATTAGGACATTTAAACTGTGTTAATTAACATGTATATACAGAATTGTTTTGAGGAAAAACAGTCCTTAAGAATGCAGATAAGCACTGCAAATACCAATCCCCTCAAGGGAAACTCGGTTGGGTTTTTGCAACACAGCAGAGGCTATCAGGTACAAAGTAACACCTTTACAAAGTCAAATGTGCCAACACTACCTCATGGGCTGCTTACAGACAAAAAAAAGAAGAAACAAAAAACCCTAAAACAGCGCTTTACTCTAAACTTGAGGTGCCCCTATGCCAAACCTACCACATCCCCAGAAGAGGCATCACATTAGTTTGACCCAGTTTACTCAACATCTGTATAGATTGAGCACTTTAACACTGCTTTTTTGGTGCTTTTATCTATTAGCTGATTAAATTAGATAAAAGCACCAAAAAGCCCCACAGAAGCACATGATCTATACAGATGCTGCAGATCTAGTTGAACTAAGGCACTGCTTTTGGTAAAACATGGTTGTTTCATTTTTTTCCACATCTGTCAGCAGCCACTGTGACTAATTATCAGTATCCCAACTCAGCCCCCAGCCCTGCCCAAACACGTGGGCTGCTGGTCTGTGCAGAAGGGGGCAAACCCCCTTGACCATCTATTAACTCTGAATTCAAACAGCTTGGT